CCCTATCCTGAAATCATAGAATCTTTTTGGGGATGAATTGCTTCGGTTACTCCGCGTTAAGTCACCGCACACTACTGCGATTTACATTGCAGCGAATAAAGGCTCGTGAATTGGAGACGTCCCTTCGATGAGGAGAACCGAAAAAAAATGCCATTATGTCCCGTAAAGCAGTCCAATAGTGGGTGCTTGGCGGGTGCTCTGGTGTGGTTTTTTTCTTCTTTCCTATCAAACATCTGCTATCGATATCGTCTTTGTCTCCCCTCCTTCTTTTTTGTGTTTGTTACTCTCTTGTAACACCTCTAATCTTCGACACTTATATGACTTTATGCAGTTGCGAGCACCATAAAACCTCTACTAAAAACTAAACAAATTTCCCATTACGCAGTCCAATTGCCAGCTTCAAGTCCAACATACACTTTATGGTCTGGGTCACAAGGGAAAAGAAAGGACGACTGGGGAGAGTTTTCTTCACCAGTTACTTTGTTTTTCTTCTCACCGGGGATTAGTGGCAAGGTAACTTAGTTACTAATCATAGGTGCCGGCACAACGTGGAATTTCTGAGAGAGCCATCGTCAAAAGTGGAGTTTAATGAAGTGTAGAATTCTGTGAGCAGTTAAGATGACATGGAGGCGAGCGGTACGAGCGGAAATGGAAAAGGCTGGGACATCATGGAAACAGCTAGAAAAGGATGTGCAGGACAGGCTTCGCTGGAGAAATATTGTTGTTGATGGCCTATGCTCCACTGGGAGTTAAAAAAGGGCGAGAGAGACATTAGTTACTGGTTAACCAAAGTTCAATTTCGTATTTTTTACTTCTTTTTAAATTTTGTCCCGTGGGGTCTCTCTCTCTCTCTCTCTCTCTCTCTCTCTCTCTCTCTCTCTCTCTCTCTCTCTCTCTTTCTTCGTCTGGTTTTATGTGGTGTTTGAAAGGTGGTCTTTTGTTATCGTCGTGTTTGTTTGAGTTTTGTTTTGTTTGTTTTTCTTGTCTTTTCATGGATTTTGTTGGGTTTTTTTTTTAGGGGAGGGGGGCTGGGCGGAAGGTAGGAAGACCCTGTGTACGCTTGTATGTCCTACTTCTTTACTGTTCCTCTGTGCTATGTGCTTGTCCATATCGCTTTTTCGTCAGCACTGTTGATCATAATTGCATTCTGAGAGAGAGAATGAGAGAGAGAGAATGAGAGAGAGAAAGACAGACAGAGAAAGAGAGAGAGAGAGCGAGAGAGAGAGGGGGGGGGGAGTGGAGGGGAAGAGGTAGCATGAAAAGTCCCACTTTCACGCATGCACAGATAGATCCACAGGCAAATTACACATACATACTATGCAAAATAGTCACATGTTTCAATTCTTTTTTTTTAACCATTGGCTTTGAAACAAAATTATAGCGCTTGGCAAGTAAAGGAAAAAGGACCAGTGTGAAACCTGATGAAGGTTCGTGGCGAAACAACACCACCCCCTCCCCTACCCCCGAGTGTTTGTTTGAGTTTTGTTTTGTTCTGTTTTGTTTTTCTTGCCTTTGCAGGGATTTTTTTTTGGGGTGTTTGTTTTTTGGCGGAAGGTAGGATGACCCTGTGTACGCTTGTGTGTCCTACTTCATTACTGTTCCTCTGTGCTATGTGCCTGTCCATATTGCTTTTTCATCAGCACTATTAATCATTATTGCATTCTGAGAGAGAGAGAGAGAGAGAGAGAGAGAGAGAGAGAGAGAGAGAGAGAGAGGGAGAGAGAGAGGGGGGGGGGAGAGAGGGAGGGGGGGGGGAGAAGAGGTGGAAGAGGTAGCATGAAAAGTCCCACTTTCACG